AGCTGCGGCTGTAATTGTCTTATCATTAAAGACTCTAATAGTTTGCGCTTGCGCCGATCATGGACATTAGTGGTTAATATGTTGATTGTTGCCAGTCAATGGAGTGAGTAGGGTTTTAGAAGATGTGCTCTGAGAGAGCTGATTTTGTCAGAAACGTTATGACATACAATAAAGAAGAAGTTGTCATCCATAAATTTGCCTTTTACTTGAACACCAACTTCTAAATGCCTCTGAAGAAGCTAAGCTAATGAGTTAGTAAACCAACACTTTGCTGGATCAGCACTGAAGCTATTGTACATAATTGGTGGCCTCCTTCCTTCTGATTACCATCACTGGTAACACACATGCACAATTCTTTAAGTTTCTTATCCTCCTCCACTGAAAACCAGCTTGACTTATTCCTTGCATTTTGTTTCAGATGCAAAGAGAACAAAAGAGAACCATTTATATTATTCCTTGACCTTCAGACTCAAAATGCAAAGAGAAGTTTCGGTCTCTTCAGACTCAACCCACCAGATGAACGGATGTACATGTATGTATGGGATCACAGGGTGTGTAGGGCTGCTAGGATGTACATGTATGTATGGGATCACAGGAGTTGTAGGGCTGCTAGGATGTACATGTATGTATGGGATCACAGGGTGTGTAGGACTGCTAGGATGTACATGTATGTATGGGATCACAGGAGTTGTAGGGCTGCTAGGATGTACATGTATGTATGGGATCACAGGGTGTGTAGGGACTGCTAGGATGTACATGTATGTATGGGATCACAGGGTGTGTAGGACTGAGAGGATGTACATGTATGTATGGGATTACAGGGTGTGTAGGACTGAGAGGATGTACATGTATGTATGGGATCACAGGAGTTGTAGGGCTGCTAGGATGTACATGTATGTATGGGATCACAGGGTGTGTAGGGCTGCTAGGATGTACATGTATGTATGGGATCACAGGGTGTGTAGGACTGCTAGGATGTACATGTATGTATGGGATCACAGGAGTTGTAGGGCTGCTAGGATGTACATGTATGTATGGGATTACAGGGTGTGTAGGACTGCTAGGATGTACATGTATGTATGGGATCACAGGGTGTGTAGGGCTGCTAGGATGTACATGTATGTATGGGATCACAGGGTGTGTAGGACTGCTAGGATGTACATGTATGTATGGGATCACAGGGTGTGTTGTAGGATAGCTGCTAGGATGTACATGTATGTATGTATGGGATCACAGGGTGTGTAGGACTGCTAGGATGTACATGTATGTATGGGATCACAGGGTGTGTAGGACTGCTAGGATGTACATGTATGTATGGGATCACAGGGTGTGTAGGGCTGCTAGGATGTACATGTATGTATGGGATCACAGGGTGTGTAGGACTGCTAGGATGTACATGTATGTATGGGATCACAGGGTGTGTAGGGCTGCTAGGATGTACATGTATGTATGGGATCACAGGGTGTGTAGGGCTGCTAGGATGTACATGTATGTATGGGATCACAGGGTGTGTAGGGCTGCTAGGATGTACATGTATGTATGGGATCACAGGGTGTGTAGGACTGCTAGGATGTACATGTATGTATGGGATCACAGGGTGTGTAGGGCTGCTAGGATGTACATGTATGTATGGGATCACAGGGTGTGTAGGACTGCTAGGATGTACATGTATGTATGGGATCACAGGAGTTGTAGGGCTGCTAGGATGTACATGTATGTATGGGATCACAGGGTGTGTAGGACTGCTAGGATGTACATGTATGTATGGGATCACAGGGTGTGTAGGACTGCTAGGATGTACATGTATGTATGGGATCACAGGGTGTGTAGGACTGCTAGGATGTACATGTATGTATGGGATCACAGGGTGTGTAGGACTGCTAGGATGTACATGTATGTATGGGATCACAGGGTGTGTAGGACTGCTAGGATGTACATGTATGTATGGGATCACAGGGTGTGTAGGGCTGCTAGGATGTACATGTATGGGGATCACAGGGTGTGTAGGACTTGGACGCACAGGGGGACTACAGGATGTACATGTATGTATGGGATCACAGGGTGTGTAGGAGGCTGCTAGGATGTACATGTATGTATGGGATCACAGGGTGTGTAGGACTGCTAGGATGTACATGTATGTATGGGATCACAGGAGTTGTGGATGCTAGGACATTACATGTATGTATGGGATCACAGGTGTGTAGAGACTGCTAGGATGTACATGTATGGGGATCACAGGGTGTGTAGGTCTACTGCTAGGATGTACATGGGCATGGGATCACAGGGTGTGTAGGTCTGTAGGATGGTATGGGATCACAGGAGTAGGATGTACATGTATGTATGGGATCACAGGAGTTGTAGGACTGCTAGGATGTACATGTATGTATGGGATCACAGGGTGTGTAGGACTGCTAGGATGTACATGTATGTATGGGATCACAGGGTGTGTAGGACTGCTAGGATGGCATGTATGGATGGGATCATGTGTAGGGACTGCTAGGATGTACATGTATGGATCACAGGGTGTGTAGGACTGCTAGGATGTACATGTATGTATGGATCACAGGAAGTGTGTAGAAACTGCTAGGATGTACATGTATGTATGGGATCACAGGGTGTGTAGGGCTGCTAGGATGTACATGTATGTATGGGATCACAGGGTGTGTATGGGACTGCTAGGATGTACATGTATGTATGGGATCACAGGGTGTGTAGGACTGCTAGGATGTACATGTATGTATGGGATCACAGGTGTGTAGGACTGCTAGGATGTACATGTATGTATGGGATCACAGGGTGTGTAGGAGCTACTAGGATGTACATGTATGTATGGGGATCACAGGGTGTGTAGGACTGCTAGGATGTACATGTATGTATGGGATCACAGGGTGTGTAGGACTGCTAGGATGTACATGTATGTATGGGATCACAGGGTGTGTAGGGACTGCTAGGATGTACATGTATGTATGGGATCACAGGGTGTGTAGGACTGCTAGGATGTACATGTATGTATGGGATCACAGGGTGTGTAGGGCTGCTAGGATGTACATGTATGTATGGGATCACAGGGTGTGTAGGGCTGCTAGGATGTACATGTATGTATGGGATCACAGGGTGTGTAGGATATCTGCTAGGATGTACATGTATGTATGGGATCACAGGGTGTGTAGGGCTGCTAGGATGTACATGTGTATGTATGGGATCACAGGGTGTGTAGGGCTGCTAGGATGTACATGTATGTATGGGATCACAGGGTTGTAGGGCTGCTAGGATGTACATGTATGTATGGGATCACAGGGGTGTGTAGGAGCTGCTAGGATGTACATGTATGTATGGGATCACAGGAGTTGTAGGGCTGCTAGGATGTACATGTATGTATGGGATCACAGGGTGTGTAGGGCTGCTAGGATGTACATGTATGTATGGGATCACAGGGTGTGTAGGGCTGCTAGGATGTACATGTATGTATGGGATCACAGGGTGTGTAGGGCTGCTAGGATGTACATGTATGTATGGGATCACAGGATGTGTAATATGGGATCAGGGCTGCTAGGATGTACATGTATGTATGGGATCACAGGGTGTGTAGGGCTGCTAGGATGTACATGTATGTATGGGATCACAGGGTGTGTAGGACTGCTAGGATGTACATGTATGTATGGGATCACAGGGTGTGTAGGGCTGCTAGGATGTACATGTATGTATGGGATCACAGGGTGTGTAGGACTGCTAGGATGTACATGTATGTATGGGATCACAGGGTGTGTAGGACTGCTAGGATGTACATGTATGTATGGGATCACAGGGTGTGTAGGACTGCTAGGATGTACATGTATGTATGGGATCACAGGGTGTGTAGGACTACTAGGATGTATGTTAGGAGTGAAACGGTATGCTCTTACCACAGTATGGTACGTATTACGGTACAAAGCCTTTGCTTCATTCTATTTCGGTTCGGTATATGAGATATGATCATAAGGCAGAAAGGAAAAGAAATGCATAGATTTTGACAAATTGATTTGATTTCTAGACATTTTGGAAGAGGTTAAAAAAGGTTGATAAAATGACGGTACAAAACTGAAAATACCACATTTTTGGATTGTATTACGGTATGTCGAAACAAATGTCAAATACTGCAGTTCTACTTATTCCATGGTATACCGTTTCACCCCTAATAAACATGTATGTATGAGGATCACAGGCTCTGTAGGGTCTTTATGAATATGTTTTTAATTACAATTTGTCGACCATTATAGTTTCATGTGTTTCTATCAGTTAGATTCATCCACAGACATCTTGTATCGGGATGTGTTGTGGATGGCGGGGGGGGAAAGGTGCAGAATATTCCAGAAACATTTCTGGCTACTTCGTTCTTAATGTGATTACCACTATATTTCTTCTTTTCTGTAAGCAGTTTGATCATTTTTCCATATTTGTGCTGACATTGTGCAACACTGGGTTTATATTGAACGGTAAACTTTTCCTGTATCTCTCCTACCATCTATTGTCACCATCATGGACATTACTAGACCTTGTGTGACGACCCTGTGTGTTCCTGTATCTCTCCTACCATCTATTGCCACGATCATGGACATTACTAGACCTTGTGTGACTACCCTGGACTGTGTAACCATGGTAACATCTCTGTGTTTCCGGTGTAGTGGTTAGAGCATCCGCCCGGAGAGCAGAAGGTCGCAGGTTCGATCCCCGGCCGCGTCATAAAATATGGTACTTGTTGGTTCCTGCCTGGCGCTCGGCGTTAATGGGTACATCAAGGACTGGTTGGCTCAGAGTCAGTATAATGTGTCTGAGTGGGGTATTCATGCTTCACTGCGGCATGGTATCTCACTGGGCTAGCACTATAAAACCAGCTTAAGTTTGGGCTAGTACAAGCAGCCGCACTTACACATTCACACGCATGCACGTCGTCATATGAGCGAAATATTCTCAAGTACGACGTTAAACCCAATTTCACCTCACCTCACCTCTGTGTGTTCCAGCGTCCTCCGAGGGCAACGTGGGTGTCCTCCACTACCTGGAGACACAGGACGACTACAACTGGATACTGAAGGACGGCCCTAACCCTCCCTATGTTGTCTTGATGAACTCACTCGAGTTTAACAGGTAGACAACATTCCTCATCAGCATTCAGGTGTCCGACTGGATGGTGTTTAGTATTTTGTAACTCTGCTCTCAGCAATATTTCAGCTATGTGGCAGTGGTCTGTTAATAATCAGACCAGACTGTCCAGTGAGTGACACAATGAGCATCGATCTACGCAGATGGGATATGATGACAGCAACCAGGTCAGCGTTCCACCTGATTATAGATACTTGTAGGTGCCTCTTATGGCATGCATGAGCTCTAACTTGGATCTTCAGAGCATATTGTGGTGCAGGGAGTTTTGCTTCTCCAGAAATAAATGGCTCAGAGATTTAAGTGTCCTGTGGTAGTATACATTGTACATATATACAATAACCACTCACACTTAAGTCAGCTGAAGTGATAATATCTCTTGCACCACTTGCAATTGGTGAGATGTTGCACCACTTGCAATTGGTGAGATGTTGCACCATGTTTAGAAGGTGAGATGTTGCACCATGTTTAGAAGGTGAGATGTCCATATTTAGGTGAGATGTTGCACCATGTTTAGATGGTGAGATGTTGCACCATGTTTAGAAGGTTAGATGTTGCACCATGTTTAGAAGGTGAGATGTCCATATTTAGGTGAGATGTTGCACTATGTTTAGAATGTGAAATGTTGCACCTTGTTTAGAAGGTGAGATGTTGCACCATGTTTAGAAGGTGAGATGTTGCACCATGTTTAGAAGGTGAGATGTTGCACCATGTTTAGAAAGTGAGATGTCCATATTTAGGTGAGATGTTGCACTATGTTTAGAAGGTGAAATGTTGCACCTTGTTTAGAAGGTGAGATGTTGCACCATGTTTAGAAGGTGAGATGTTGCACCATGTTTAGAAAGTTAGATGTCCATATTTAGGTGAGATGTTGCACTATGTTTAGAATGTGAGATGTTGCACCTTGTTTAGAAGGTGAGATGTTGCACCATGTTTAGAAGGTGAGATGTTGCACCATGTTTAGAAGGTGAGATGTTGACCATGTTTAGAAGGTGAGATGTTGCACCATGTTTGGATGGTGAGATGTTGCACCATGTTTAGAAGGTGAGATGTTGCACCATGTTTAGAAGGTGAGATGTTGCACCATGTTTAGGTGAGGTGTTATGTTGCAGCTCTAACCTTGACCTGCTGGTGGCCTCACAGCGAGTGAACGGGATACTGGTCATCAACGTGCTAGAGAACCAGACCTTGACCCCGTTCCCGGGTCAGTTCTCCGCCGACAAGTCATGTCCAAACGATGCATACGGTGAGTAACTGATGGTGGGGACGTCATACTGCTTCTCTGGAAATAATGGTGACAGATGATTTCCTCAAAGTCATTGATATGTTTGAACCATGGTGTACTTGCTTAACAACAAAATCTATATTGAAATGTTACCTTTCACAGAATACAAAAGTTGTATATCCATAAAAATATCATCATTCTTCATCACCTCAACTTCTAAAATGCCCATCAAAGAAGAGTCAAATACTGCTCAGATTTGCAGCACCTCAGTAAGGCAAATTTTGTTTGAGACAAACATCATGTGGGCAATCCTGGAGATAATTTATCCATGTTTATGTGACCTATTTTCATGTTCTTCTATATCTTCCGCATCTCTGAAAGAAATTTTTGAGGACACTTGAATAATCTGTTCAAGAATCTGTACCAATCCCCTATACTTCCCTGATATACCTCCCTGAAACATGTGTAGTGGTGACAGATCTACCTCCCTAAAACGTGTGTAGTGGTGGCAGATCTACCTCCCTGAAACATGTGTAGAGGAGACAGATCTACCTCCCTGAAACGTGTGTAGTGGTGGCAGATCTACCTCCCTGAAACATGTGTAGTGACAGATCTACCTCCCTGAAACGTGTGTAGTGGTGACAGATCTACCTCCCTGAAACATGTGTAGTGGTGACAGATCTACCTCCCTGAAACTTGTGTAGTGGTGACAGATCTACCTCCCTGAAACGTGTAGTGGTGGCAGATCTACCTCCCTGAAACATGTGTAGAGGTGACAGATCTACCTACCTGAAACATGTGTAGTGGTGACAGATCTACCTCCCTGAAACATGTGTAGTGACAGATCTACCTCCCTGAAACGTGTGTAGTGTGTAGTGGTGATGCAGATCTACCTCCCTGAAACATGTGTAGTGACAGTCTTACAGATCTACCTCCCTGAAACATGTGTAGTGGTGGCAGATCTACCTCCCTGAAACATGTGTAGTGGTGGCAGATCTACCTCCCTGAAACATGTGTAGTGGTGACAGATCTACCTCCCTGAAACATGTGTAGTGGTGACAGATCTACCTCCTCCCTCCAGATCTGAAACATGTGTACCTCCCTGAAACGTGGTGGCAGATCTACCTCCCATGTGTAGTGACAGAAACATGTGTAGTGACAGATCTACCTCCCTGAAACATGTGTAGTGGTGGCAGATCTACCTCCCTGAAACATGTGTAGTGGTGACAGATCTACCTCCCTGAAACATGTGTAGTGGTGACAGATCTACCTCCCTGAAACATGTGTAGTGGTGGCAGATCTACCTCCCTGAAACATGTGTAGTGGTGACAGATCTACCTCCCTGAAACATGTGTAGTGGTGACAGATCTACCTCCCTGAAACATGTGTAGTGGTGGCAGATCTTCCTCCCTGAAACGTGTGTAGTGGTGGCAGATCTACCTCCCTGAAACATGTGTAGTGGTGGCAGATCTACCTCCCAGAAACATGTGTAGTGACAGATCTACCTCCCTGAAACATGTGTAGTGGTGGCAGATCTACCTCCCTGAAACATGTGTCCAGCTAATCGTCTGAGTGAGTGGAATAAATGAGGCTGGGAACATGCCTATGGTCAGTGCTGCATGTGTTACCATGGTTACCCCTTTACTGCTGCTGTGTTCATTGTGATGCTGTATTGTGTCAGGCATGTACCACAAAGACAAGAGCTACAGCAACTGCAAGAAGCAGAAGTGGAATGTGGGGGGCACCGACATCGGCATGATGTTCAAGGACTACAGCATCCCCATGTTCTCCCTGCCTAACGAGGACGATGTCAGCAAGCTCATCAACATGGTCAGTTCTCCACAGGGCATACCTTTACCAGTGGGATATTTTTATGTTTCATCGAATTTGTGAAAATGAAAGCAAGCATTAGAAAACTCAGTGCATACCATTACCTCAAAACGATTCCTTTCCATCACTTTCTGTAGCCTGAGTGACCTGGACGGATGTGATCAGTTTGCTGAAGCATTGTCACTGCAGTTAACATGGATAAATCATGGGTACACTGCAGTTAACATGGATAAATCATGGGTACACTGCAGTTAACATGGATAAATCATGGGTACACTGCAGTTAACATGGATAAATCATGGGTACACTGCAGTTAACATGGATAAATCATGGGTACACTGCAGTTAACATGGATAAATCATGGGTACACTGCAGTTAACATGGATAAATCATGGGTACACTGCAGTTAACATGGATAAATCATGGGTACACTGCAGTTAACATGGATAAATCATGGGTACACTGCAGTTAACATGGATAAATCATGGGTACACTGCAGTTAACATGGATAAATCATGGAAACACTGCAGTTAGCATGGATAAATCATGGAGCATGGATAAATCATGGGTACACTGCAGTTAACATGGATAAATCATGGGTACACTGCAGTTAGCATGGATAAATCATGGGTACACTGCAGTTAACATGGATAAATCATGGAAACACTGCAGTTAGCATGGATAAATCATGGGTACACTGCAGTTAACATGGATAAATCATGGGTACACTGCAGTTAACATGGATAAATCATGGGTACACTGCAGTTAACATGGATAAATCATGGGTACACTGCAGTTAACATGGATAAATCATGGGTACACTGCAGTTAACATGGATAAATCATGGGTACACTGCAGTTAACATGGATAAATCATGGGTACACTGCAGTTAACATGGATAAATCATGGGTACACTGCAGTTAACATGGATAAATCATGGAAACACTGCAGTTAACATGGATAAATCATGGATAACACTGCAGTTAACATGGATAAATCATAGGTACACTGCAGTCTAATGGATAAATCATGGGTACACTGCAGTTAGCATGGATAAATCATAAACACTGCAGTTAACATGGATAAATCATGGGTACACTGCAGTTAAAATGAACTAAAGGGGAACATTACTTTCCATTCGTTATGACTGTAGTTTGTTAAAACCATTGAGATACTCTGCATGTGGCAAAAAGCCTCCCAAAATACCTGTTTGTTAAATCCATCAGTTCCTTAACTGCATGGTGGTTGTGACATAGTTTAGTGATCACGGTGGTAATAGATAGTAGTCTTGTTGTCTAGCTTCATGATAACTCTGTTGGTTAACTTCTACATTGTGTTGACAGTGCTATGAGAAATTCAACCGGCCCATCAATGGCGTCCCACGTAACTACCCGCTGTGTGCCGTCCAGCTGAATGACCGGATGGACGCAGCGAAAGACACTGTGACCTGTACCAGAAGGACGAACCGACTGACAAACCTGAGCAATCCCGTCCGCTACTGCGACCCTCTGGGAGACAAGAACATTGTGGCTACCATGAAGACTGTCAACTCGACGGAAGAGAGGCCAGAAAAGTCGGTGATAGTGTTTGCCACCAAGGTATTACTTCACACTGTCCAATAAGCAGTTAATGTACTCTGTCATGTAGGATGTTTGAAAAAACCCCACTGCCCACAAAGTTGTCAAAGTGTTTTATCCACATGGCTCTTGAAATATGGCTGCAGACTCGTCACATATGTGAATATTTTGGTATACTATCTGAGCATGAAGGCACTGGGTTGAGTGTCAGGTTAATGCATCCATGTTTATGCCCTAAGGGCAAAACTAGATATTCTAGTAGGTTAGTTGCTTTAAAGAGGAAATGTTAGTAATACAACTTATCACTCAGCAATTTGTTAAATGCTTGAGATTCGTAGAAGTATTCTGTTTAATCTGAGGGCGTCCAGGAATTAACGTAAGAAACGACAGGTGCTGTCAGATATGATCACGGGGAGAGAATAGTGGCTGTTGTCATCTTGAATTGTCTCCCCTTGGCCAGGACATATTTACCTTAAACTGGTGTTTGTTCCACTGGGGATGACTGAGATATTGCTTGGTGGGAGTCAGTTACTGTAGTAACACAAGCACTTGTCTGGTAAGGATAAAGCTATGATCAGAAACATCATGTCCTTTATCTCATTATTGTTCTATACTTTTCAAACTTTTATTTTTCCCAAAAGAATTTCATTGCACTTGCTCTCACCAACACTGAAAAGACATCATGTACTGAACGAAGTTATTATGCATTTGAGATTTAATAATGCTTTCCTGCTTTTGACCTTAGAGGTGTCCATAGCCACCAGGTGAGAGGCTGGTTTCCCTGACTCCTTGTCTATAACTGTATGTGGCAGATTAATGTAGTGTATTGAACATAGAGTGGGAACAGGCTAGGCTCCTGGAAAGTTGTAACTGGCAGATTAACATGTACTTATATGTGCGACTCATACAGTGTTGTTGTCATTTATCATGTTAGAAAGTCAGAAAAGGAAATTTTAAAATGCTATATGGTTGAACTTCAGTCAGTATCTAGCACTGTATGTATTGTGACTAATTCTAGCATACTACTTGGGTCCAGAGTTCAGTCGGTTTCTCATGAACAAGGCAAGGCAAACTAGTGCATCAGTTAACAGTCTACCAATATGGGTCCAAGATTTACAGGCTGACAAACACAGTTTCAGATGGTACATGTCATAACACTATTTCAGATTGTACATGTTATGACAGAATTTCAGCTGTAAATAGTGCCATGACATGGTCAATCTGAAATAGTCTTATGACATGTGCAATCTGGACCAGTGTCATGACATGTGCAATCTTGACCAGTGTCATGACATGTGCAATCTTGACCAGTGTCATGACATGCAATCTTGACCAGTGTCATGACATGTGCAATCTGAACCAGTGTCATGACATGTGCAATCTTGACCAGTGTCATGACATGTGCAATCTTGACCAGTGTCATGACATGTGCAATCTTGACCAGTGTCATGACATGTGCAATCTGACCAGTGTCATGACATGTGCAATCTTGACCAGTGTCATGACATGTGCAATCTGAACCAGTGTCATGACATGTGCAATCTGAACCAGTGTCATGACATGTGCAATCTGAACCAGTGTCATGACATGTGCAATCTTGACCAGTGTCATGACATGTGCAATCTGGACCAGTGTTATGATACAAGTGTTTTGACAGATGGACTCGCTGGCAATGTTTCACAATGAGTATCCAGCCTCTGACTCCACGGTGACGGGCATCGTGACGCTGCTGGCTGTGGCAGAAGCCCTTGGTGCAGTCAAAGACGAGATCCAGAACAATTCCACTGCCAAGGACATTATGTTCACCTTTTTCCAAGGGGTGAGTTAGTGACGATTCCCTTATAAATCAATACACAGTTTAATTAAAAATTTCTTGGGATGTTTTTTTCTTCCTGTTTTTGGCTTTATTTTCTTAAAGAAAAATGGCTTGAGCAACATGGCTTAGCCTCAAGAAAAACACATGAGCGTCTGGTCAGGTGATGAATATGCAGCCGAGTGATTTATGAGCTGGAAGGTCGGTTCACCCTCCCTTGTATGGCTTCATGGACAGTGCTGTGTTACAGGAGTCGTTCGACTACATCGGCTCCAGCCGTATGGTTTACGACATGGACTCCAACTCTAGCCAGTTTCCCCAGGACATCAAGAAGGACGTTGTCAGTCTCCAGGAGATCCGACTGGAGAACATACACAGCTTCCTGGAGGTCAATCAGGTCGGGTTGCGAGATCAGGGCAAACTGTGGATACACACTGACCCAATCACCAGACCCAAGCTGGAGGACCCAACTCAGGTAACAGGGGCAGTATCTCACTCAGGTAACAGGGGCAGTAGGCAGTATCTCACTCAGGTAATATAGGCAGTATCTCTCTCAGGTAATATAGGCAGTATCTCACTCAGGTAATATAGGCAGTATCTCTCTCAGGTAATATAGGCAGTATCTCACTCAGGTAATATAGGCAGTATCTCACTCAGGTAATATAGGCAGTATCTCACTCAGGTAATATAGGCAGTATCTCACTAAGGTAATATGGGCAGTATCTCACTCATTTAATAGAATAGAATAGAATAATACTTTAGTGCCTTTTCAGGAATTTGTGTTACATCAGCAGAGCTACTGACACATTAGAGAGATACCAAACATATTTACATAAATATAGGCATTATCTCACTCAGGTAATAGGGGCATTATCTCACTCAGGTAATAGGGGCACAGGGAAGTGAGGATACAGAACCTCCTGCAGAAAATATTATCTGATATTTCATGTTTTTACTTTATATTATTTTTTTTATCAAGTCAAGTAATCCATAATTTTGATTATCCTTGTATCTGCCGTTTATATTGATCATATGTTGTGCAGATATAGTCAGCACTCCCGAGGACATACTCTTCTCAGGTTTACTGTTTCTCTTAAACCCAGCTGTCCGACATGATCAGTTCGCTGAAGTCCATCGGGTCGTCGCTGGGTGTTCAACTTGACAATGTGACAGATGATACGCCACTCCCCCCAGCCTCCGTCCAGAGGTTCCTGATGAAGGCCAATATTCCCGCCATCGTCCTGACCGACCACCAGAAGGAATACACCAACAGGTCAGTATGTCTCGCTCAGCACCTGAAGGCCTCATGTGACCATTGAGCCTCAGGTTGTGTGTTGTTATGTTTCATTGTATGTGCATTACCTTGATGGTTGACTGCAGCACTGTTACCTTGATGGTTGACTGCAGCCTTGTTATATTGATGGTTGACTGCAGCCTTGTTACCTTGATGGTTGACTGCAGCCTTGTTATATTGATGGTTGACTGCAGCCTTGTTATCTTGATGGTTGATCTGCAGCCTTGTTATATTGATGGTTGACTGCAGCACTGTTATCTTGATGGTTGACTGCAGCCTTGTTACCTTGATGGTTGACTGCAGCCTTGTTATATTGATGGTTGACTGCAGCCTTGTTATTTGATGGTTGACTGCAGCCTTGTTATGATGGTTGACTGCAGCCTTGTTATATTGATGGTTGACTGCAGCAGCTGTTATATTGATGGTTGACTGCAGCCTTGTTATCTTGATGGTTGACTGCAGCCTTGTTATCTTGATGGTTGACTGCAGCCTTGTTATCTTGATGGTTGACTGCAGCCTTGTTATCTTGATGGTTGACTGCAGCACTGTATACTGCAGCCTTGTTATGATGGTTGACTGCAGCCTTGTTATCTTGATGGTTGACTGCAGCCTTGTTACCTTGATGGTTGACTGCAGCCTTGTTATCTTGATGGTTGACTGCAGCCTTGTTATCTTGATGGTTGACTGCAGCCTTGTTATCTTGATGGTTGACTGCAGCACTTGATGGTTGACTGCAGCCTTGATGGTTGACTGCAGCCTTGTTACCTTGATGGTTGACTGCAGCACTGTTATCTTGATGGTTGACTGCAGCACTGTTATCTTGATGGTTGACTGCAGCCTTGTTACCTTGATGGTTGACTGCAGCACTGTTGTTATCTTGATGGTTGACTGCAGCCTTGTTATCTTGATGGTTGACTGCAGCACTGTTATCTTGATGGTTGACTGCAGCACTGTTATCTTGATGGTTGACTGCAGCCTTGTTACTGCTTGATGGTTGACTGCAGCACTGTTATCTTGATGGTTGACTGCAGCCTTGTTATCTTGATGGTTGACTGCAGCCTTGTTATATTGATGGTTGACTGCAGCCTTGTTACCTTGATGGTTGACTGCAGCCTGGTTACCTTGATGGTTGACTGCAGCCTGGTTATATTGATGGTTGACTGCAGCACTGTTACCTTGATGGTTGACTGCAACCTTGTTATACTGATGGTTGACTGCAGCACTGTTATCTTGATGGTTGACTGCAGCCTTGTTACCTTGATGGTTGACTGCAGCCTTGTTACCTTGATGGTTGATCTGCAGCCTTGTTATATTGATGGTTGACTGCAGCCTTGTTATACTGATGGTTGATCTGCAGCCTTGTTACCTTGATGGTTGACTGCAGCCTTGTTACCTTGATGGTTGACTGCAGCCTTGTTATCTTGATGGTTGACTGCAGCACTGTTATCTTGATGGTTGACTGCAGCACTGTTATCTTGATGGTTGACTGCAGCCTTGTTACCTTGATGGTTGACTGCAGCACTGTTATACTGATGGTTGACTGCAGCCTTGTTATATTGATGGTTGATCTGCAGCCTTGTTATATTGATGGTTGACTGGAGCCTTGTTACCTTGATGGTTGACTGCAGCCTTGTTACCTTGATGGTTGACTGCAGCACTGTTATCTTGATGGTTGACTGCAGCCTTGTTATATTGATGGTTGGCCTGCAGCACTGTTATATTGATGGTTGACTGCAACATTGTTATATTGATGATTGACTCCAGCCTTGTTATCTGGATGGTTGACCTGTAGCGTTGTTATCTTGATCTTGATCTCTAACTAGCCTGACTCAATGGTTGGCCTGTAACACATGTAACAAAGAGTTGACAAACAGCAGATATGACCTTGAGATTGTTCTGTGGTGTCAGTATGACTTGACTTATGTGACGTGACAGTATTTCCTGTATTATGATCTGTCAGATAATGGACACGGATGACCTGACATTTTGGGTTGCCCGTCACGTTAAGCCAACATGTTTATCTTCACACTGGTTCAAACCGGTCTCTCTTTGTAGGTTCTTCAACAGCCGCTTTGACCTCCCCGCCATGATCAATGTGACTGACCACGGCAACCAGTCAGACCCGTCAGCTGACACACAGACACAGTCTCTCACAGACATCGCCACCACACTCGCTCACTTCCTGTACACTCTCTCAACTGGCAACACCGCCCCCAGCTCCCTCAAGGCAGACAAGGACATTGTGAGTTATCAACCTTGCAGCAGCCATTTTTTTTTCTGAACTGTGTCATCATGGTTCTGATGGATCATATCTATGTTCCGTTGTTGAGAGAGTGTTTGGACCAGGGTATAACTCCAGATATATTTAAAGAATTAAAATTAAAAGACTTCCTTGTCCTGGCGTTACCTAGAATAATAAGTTGGTTGTCACAATGTGTGACCTGGTCTTTCTGGCCCAATGGCCTGTTTTGTAACCCAGAATGTCAATTATTACTGTCAGTGTCAACTTTTTTGCTGAAATTGTGCTTGAATATTGGAAAACAAGATTGATACATTATGAAACAAGAAGTTGTAAGACAAATTGTAATACTGGACAAAAATAGTTAGGGATATAAGTAAATTTTGAAATTATCAATAACGATCTATTTATTCATTGACACACTGATAAAATATCAATCATAAAAATCCCAATATCCCTAACTTATTTTGTCCAGTATATTTATGGCACAACAATGACACCATGTTATCAAGGAGTCACTGAGCTGGCAGTGGTATGCAAGTCCCTTCATTTATGGACAAAACAGTGATTGACTGAGTCTAAATACCTTCTGGAGCATTCCACAAGATCTTTCTCCAGAAGCTATCCTTCCATGCATACATATACATGATGTTAGTGCTGACTCCAGAAGCTATCCTTCCATGCATACATATACATGATGTTAGTGCTGACTGAGAGAGTCTCTGCTTGTCCAGGTGGAGTGTCTCCTCCAGAAGCTATCCTTCCATGCATACATATACATGATGTTAGTGCTGACTGAGAGAGTCTCTCTGCTTGTCCAGGTGGAGTGTCTCCTCCAGAAGCTATCCTTCCATGCATACATATACATGATGTTAGTGCTGACTGAGAGAGTCTCTGCTTGTCCAGGTGGAGTGTCTCCTCCAGAAGCTATCCTTCCATGCATACATATACATGATGTTAGTGCTGACTGAGAGAGTCTCTGCTTGTCCAGGTGGAGTGTCTCCTCCAGAAGCTATCCTTCCATGCATACATATACATGATGTTAGTGCTGACTGAGAGAGTCTCTCCTTGTCCAGGTGGAGTGTCTCCTCCAGAAGCTATCCTTCCATGCATACATACATGATGTTAGTGCTGACTGATCTCCTTGTCCAGGTGGAGAGTCTCCAGAAGCTATCCTTCCAGACTGAGAGATGTTAGGGGCTGACTGAGAGTCTCTCCTTGAGGTGGAGAGTCTGAGAGAGTCTCTCCTTGTCCAGGTGGAGTGTCTCCTCCAGAAGCTATCCTTCCATGATGCATACATATACATGATGTTGCATACATATACATGATGCTGACTGAGAGAGTCTCTCCTTGTCCAGGTGGAGTGTCTCCTCCAGAAGCTATCCTTCCATGCATACATATACATGATGTTAGTGCTGACTGAGAGAGTCTCTCCTTGTCCAGGTGGAGTCTCCTCCAGAAGCTATCCTTCCATGCATACATATACATGATGTTAGTGCTGACTGAGAGAGTCTCAGGTGGAGAGTCTCCTCCAGTGTTTCCTCTTATACATGATAGTGCACTGAGCTGTTCCAGTAGCATCGACCCAGATGATGCGACAGTCTGGGTGCGTCATCTTGTTTCATCTCATCATGTTAGTGCTGACTGGATCATCTCTGCTAGTGGAAGCAAGAACTTTGGATCATTAACTGAGTGGAAGCAAGACTTTGTGCTTACACAAACACAAATGTTTTACCTGTTCAAGTCTGTAATGATGTTTTAAAGCACTTGAGGTTTGCTTGGCCGGTTTGATAGGTAATGCATGAAAGTTTAAGTGGCTGTTAAAATATCCTAAGAAAATATGGCATGGAGATGAGGATCTGCAACTTGTATCACGTGTGTTCAGTAGGACACAGGTCAGCATGAGGGATGATTTGCAGCTTGGTCAGTTTAGTTTATGTGTTTCATTTACAGAGAAAGCCAAGAAGCCGTTCCCGTTCTATGTGAGTGTGAACGTGAACACAAATCAGGTAACGACCTTGACCCATCACATCCTGGCTCAGTACCTCGGGGAGGAAATTGGTGTTACTAAAGATGCCTGCAAAGCTCCAGACAAGGACAAGGTGTGTGGGGAGCTTAGAATTGTCATTCCAACCTTCATTGTAATAAAACATCATTGAATTGATTGGCTCATATTTTGTGAAAAAATGTTTGTGGTTTCTTCACGTTAGGTTTTAAAGACAGCATTAAGTGAGTCAGTATTTCATTAAGAACACTTGTACCAATGCTGAACTGCATGCATGCCATACGTGTATTTGTACAGTGTATGGCTTGTTCAGCTGTGACATTTTGTCTTATATTTTACAGTCAACAAACATTCAGTTTCTGTGTGTGATTGGCTTCAGCTGTTTAATCATTTCTGCCTTTAGACACATCAGTTTCTTTGGATTCAAGGCAACTTGACACAACCTTCTACAGGCAATTCTCGTGTTGGCGCCTGTATAAAGTCTACCTCCATGTTAACACTAGCCAAGTCTCCAGCATTTGATATAGATGGTAAGTAAACCAGTTATAAGATAGTAGCCTGTACAAAGTCTACGTCCATGTTAACACCTGCCAAATCTCGTGCTAATGTGGAGGTGTAGACTAGTCTAGCTGTTACCTCTTACTGTTCATTAGACGACCCACTTACCCCTGACAAACATACATTGTCTCTAGCATGTGATATCAATGTAAGTAAAGCAGTTATAAGATAGGAGCACGTATAAAGTCTACCTCCATGTTAACACTAGCCAAATCTCCAGCGTTTGCAGGGCAGTGGGGTAGCCTAGTGGTTAAAGCGTTCAATACCCTACATGGGTACAATGTGTGAAGCCCATTTATGGTGTCCCCCGCTGTGATGTTGCTGGAGCATTGCTAAAAGCGGCATAAAACCATACTCACTCACTTAATGCAGCATTTGCTGTCGATGGTAAGTCCGACAGTTATAAAGTAGGAACCTGTACAAAGTCTACCTCCATCTCAACACTAGCTAAGTCTCATGCAAATGTGGAGGAATAGACACAAACTGTTCATCAGTTGGACCACTTTCCCCTCATTGTTGTCTGGGGCCCTGACCTGGCGATATGGGCCAGTGATATGGATGGGTTTGTTTCAGACTATGACTGGCTGTCCGGCACCTACTCCACATGGACAGAGAGTGTGTGGGAACCACTCAAAGTCAGGATATTCCTCGTCCCTAGTCAACAATTCCAGGTAATAGCCATACTCTGTCCATTTACAAGTCTGTTTGATTTCTCTGGGTTTTTTTCAATGTAACGTGACTTTCTTGTTTCTCATCCACATCTGTACAATGTCTGACTTCTGACACTCTTCCTGCACCAACTGCCAGTAGGTAACTGCCAGTAGGCAACTGCCAGTAGACTTTCTCCTCAACATTGCCGTATGTGTTACACTCAGTAGGTAGGGGGTGACTACAGCGACAACTTATAGGGTAGAAGTCTGTAGCAGGTCTAACTTCAGTGACAACTCACAGAAGGTGCAGAATCCAGTCTTACTAGTACGAACTGACAACTCACAGAAGGTGCAGAATCCAGTCTTACTAGTACGAACTGACAACTCACAGAAGGTGCAGAATCCAGTCTTAGTAGTACGAACTGACAACTCACAGAAGGTGCAGAATCCAGTCTTAGTAGTACAAACTGACAACTCACAGAAGGTGCAGAATCCAGTCTTAGTAGTACAAACTGACAACTCACAGAAGGTGCAGAATCCAGTCTTAGTAGTACGAACTGACAACTCACAGAAGGTGCAGAATCCAGTCTTAGTAGTACGAACTGACAACTCACAGAAGGTGCAGAATCCAGTCTTAGTAGTACGAACTGACAACTCACAGAAGGTGCAGAATCCAGTCTTACTAGTACGAACTGACAACTCACAGAAGGTGCAGAATCCAGTCTTACTAGTACGAACTGACAACTCACAGAAGGTGCAGAATCCAGTCTTACTAGTACGAACTGACAACTCACAGAAGGTGCAGAATCCAGTCTTACTAGTACAAACTGACAACTCACAGAAGGTGCAGAATCCAGTCTTACTAGTACAAACTGACAACTCACAGAAGGTGCAGAATCCAGTCTTAGTAGTACGAACTGACAACTCACAGAAGGTGCAGAATCCAGTCTTACTAGTACAAACTGACAACTCACAGAAGGTGCAGAATCCAGTCTTACTAGTACGAACTGACAACTCACAGAGGTTCAGAATCCAGTCTTACTAGTACGAACTGACAACTCACAGAGGTTCAGAATCTAATTGTAGTGGTAGAATATGGAGAATAAGAACTGTTTATGAAGAAATCTTTGGACATCACTGAGTATGTGATATATCTATGCCAAGGTGTTGCCATTCTTTTCCCTACTTGATTGTGTGAGAGAACATCAGCTGTAAGTTTATCCTAGGCCTTTAGGATATCTAGCTTTAGGTTTCATAGATGAGATGACCTCGAACCTCAGTGAGACAGTATGAATCATGTAGATAGTAAGACTAGTTCATGGATTTTGTGTTGAAAGTCTAATGATAATGGAGTCAGGTACACATGTACTTTCATTTCCTTGACACTCACTATCAAAGCATATTGCACCTCTGAAGGAGACTATGTGTCATATAGGTACACAGCAGTGTTACAGTCACCTCCCTGCTCAGCTTAAACCTGTATTTGGTATCTGCATTGTATAGTTGCTGTTGCCATGGTTACCTTGTAATCTACTATACATGTACCACTGAGTGTCAGTTTTTGTCATTTTGCTTTCAATATATTGAATTAAGCTGTATAGTTATGCTGTGTAAACTTGTATATACTTGTATAACATGCTTATGATGTTGAGAAATTTGTCAAGCTCTTGGTATGAAAAGTTATTGAATATGATCAGCGAAATCGATTCTTTTTAACTTGCTCTGGGAGTGTTTAAACAATTTTGTAGTTCTATCAGTATGGTGGTGTTTACATGAAAGCAGTCAAAACAAAATTGACTTGGTTTGGGTGACTTTGCCAGTAACTTGGCATTTGACTGCTGACATTCTGCAGTCCGTAACACATTTGGTGGCGGTTTTCATCAAGTAGCATCTGCAACTCTGTTGGATGTATTCGTTATATGATGATGTGAAATAATCTTAACACCTTTATGAGATAAAGATTTCATGACAACTACTTTGCTTTCAGGTTTTAACCCTTTGTGTTGGGATAGCCATTCTACTAGTCTCAATGATAGTAGTATATTTTATCAACGGAAGCGCAGATGTAATATTTAACACTGGCTCAAGCCAGACGCCACAAAGTTGATGAAAGCATATAATGTAAGCCCCCAGATCCTATGTCTCCGGAACCGTAGACCTTGGGTGGTTGGGTACATTCTCAGCATGGCTTCCTTAGTTTAACCTGCAAACACTGCCAAGTTCATTCACCAAACTTCATTCAGTGTTCAGTCACATAATTAATTTTTGTTTTGAAAATCTTATTTTGCCTTGTAATTTTTGCTTCTAAAGTTTTGGAAACATGTTCAAAATGCTTTCCCATAATTCAGCATTTGTTGCCTCATGGAAACTTACTCTGTCTCACCCGTCCTCATTAACAGCTCACAGAATGTTTGTGATAATCAAAGCTTATCATGTAAAGTGAAACTTGTCCTTCTCAGTGTTTATTGTTTATTGTTTATTGTTTATTACATGTAGACATTACTTGTTTTGTTCCTTATGATTTTACTCGTAGTCAAAAGCTTAATGAACTAAACCCTGCTTTTATGAGTTCTGTAGATTACATCCCCTTAATACTTGACACCAGGGGCTGCCACATCCCCTCAATACTTGACACCAGGGGCTGCTACATCCCCTCAATACTTGACACCAGGGGCTGCTACATCACCTCAATACTTGACACCAGGGGCTGCTACATCCCCTCAATACTTGACACCAGGGGCTGCTACAGCACCTTAATACTTGACACCAGGGTCTGCTACAGCACCTTAAATACTTGACACCAGGGGCTGCTACATCATCCCCAGGGGTCTTAATACTTGACACCAGGGGCTGCTACATCACCTCAATACTTGACACCAGGGGCTGCCACATCCCCAATACTTGACACCAGGGTCTGCTACAGCACCTTAATACTTGACACCAGGGTCTGCTACATCACCTCAATACTTGACACCAGGGGCTGCTACAGCACCTCAATACTTGACACCAGGGGCTGCTACAGCACCTCAATACTTGACACCAGGGGCTGCTACAGCACCTCAATACTTGACACCAGGGGCTGCCACATCCCCTTGAGACCACCAGGGTCTGCTACAGCACCTTAATCCCTGCTACAGCACCTCAATACTTGACACCAGGGGCTGCTACATCCCCTCAATACTTGACACCAGGGGCTGCCACATCCCCTCAATACTTGACACCAGGGTCTGCTACAGCACCTTAATACTTGAGACAAGGGTCTGCTACAGCACCTCAATACTTGACACCAGGGGCTGCTACATCCCCTCAATACTTGACACCAGGGTCTGCTACAGCGCCTCAATACTTGACACCAGGGGCTGCTACATCCCCTCAATACTTGACACCAGGGGCTGCTACATCCCCTCAATACTTGACACCAGGGTCTGCTACAGCACCTTAATACTTGACACCAGGGTCTGCTACATCACCTCAATACTTGACACCAGGGTCTGCTACAGCACCTCAATACTTGACACCAGGGTCTGCTACAGCACCTCAATACTTGACACCAGGGTCTGCTACAGCACCTCAATACTTGACACCAGGGGCTGCTACATCACCTCAATACTTGAGACAAGGGTCTGCTACAACACCTCAATACTTGACACCAGGGGCTGCTACAGCACCTCAATACTTGACACCAGGGGCTGCTACATCCCCTCAATACTTGACACCAGGGTCTGCTACAGCACCTCAATACTTGACACCAGGGTCTGCTACAGCACCTCAATACTTGACACCAGGGGCTGCCACATCCCCTCAATACCTCAATGACACCAGGGGTCTGCTACATCACCTCAATACTTGACACCAGGGGCTGCTACATCCCCTCAATACTTGACACCAGGCCCCGATTTCTCGAAACTAACTTAAGTTTTTACTCAAATTTCAAACTGAGTTTGACAATTTGAAACAGCTGAATTTTAAACTCAACTGCATTTTTTGAATAAAAGAGCCCAAACAACTTAAGTAATCTATCCACCAAACTCAAACTGTCTACTATGTTTGAGTTTACTATCGATTTTAGTTCACTCTGGGAAATGCATTTTCTCAAATTTGAGTAAAAACTCAGTCTAAAGTTTGTTTCGAGAGGGCTTGCTGCGAGAAATCAGCGCCAGGGGCTGCCACATCCCCTCAATACTTGACACCAGGGGCTGCTACATCCCCTCAATACTTGACACCAGGGGCTGCTACATCCCCTCAATACTTGACACCAGGGGCTGCCACATCCCCTCAATACCTGACACCAGGGGCTGCTACATCCCCTCAATACTTGACACCAGGGGCTGCTACATCCCCTCAATACTTGACACCAGGGGTGCTTCATGCTTCATCCCCTCAATACTTGACACCCTTAATACTGCTACATCACCTCAATACTTGACACCAGGGGCTGCTACATCACCTCAATACTTGACACCAGGGGTTGCTACATCCTCTCAATACTTGACACCAGGGGCTGCTACATCCTCTCAATACTTGACACCAGGGGCTGCTACAGCACCTTAATACTTGACACCAGGGGCTGCTACATCACCTCAATACTTGACACCAGGGGCTGCTACATCCCTCAATACTTGACACCAGGGGCTGCTACATCCCCTCAATACTTGACACCAGGGGCTGCAGCACCCCTCAATACTTGACACCAGGGTCTGCTACATCACCTCAATACTTGACACCAGGGTCTGCTACATCCCTCAATACTTGACACCAGGGTCTGCTACATCCCTCAATACTCTGACACCAGGGGCTGCTACATCCCTCAATACCTGACACCAGGGGTTGCTACATCCCCTCAATACTTGACACCAGGGGCTGCTACAGCACCTTAATACTTGACACCAGGGGTTGCTTCATCCCCTCAATACTTGACACCAGGGGCTGCTACAGCACCTCAATACTTGACACCAGGGGCTGCTACATCCCCTCAATACTTGACACCAGGGGCTGCTACATCCCCTCAATACTTGACACCAGGGGCTGCTACAGCACCTTAATACTTGACACCAGGGGCTGCTACATCCCCTCAATACTTGACACCAGGGGCTGCTACAGCACCTTAATACTTGACACCAGGGGTTGCTTCATCCCTCAATACTTGACACCAGGGGCTGCTACATCACCTCAATACCCAGGGGCTGCTACAGCCCCTGACACCAGGGGCTGCTACATCCCTCAATACTTGACACCAGGGGCTGCTACATCACCTCAATACTTGACACCAGGGGCTGCTACATCCCCTCAATACTTGACACCAGGGGCTGCTACAGCACCTTAATACTTGACACCAGGGGTTGCTTCATCCCCTCAATACTTGACACCAGGGGCTGCTACAGCACCTCAATACTTGACACCAGGGGCTGCTACATCCCCTCAATACTTGACACCAGGGGCTGCTACATCCCCTCAATACTTGACACCAGGGGCTGCTACATCACCTCAATACTTGACACCAGGGGCTGCTACATCCCCTCAATACTTGACACCAGGGGCTGCTACATCACCTCAATACTTGACACCAGGGGTTGCTTCATCACCCTCAATACCACACCAGGGGCTGCTACAGCACCTCAATACTTGACACCAGGGGCTGCTACATCCCCTCAATACTTGACACCAGGGGCTGCTACAGCACCTCAATACTTGACACCAGGGGCTGCTACATCCCCTCAATACTTGACACCAGGGGCTGCTACATCCCCTCAATACTTGACACCAGGGGCTGCTACATCCCCTCAATACTTGACACCAGGGGCTGCTACATCCCCTCAATACTTGACACCAGGGGCTGCTACAGCACCTTAATACTTGACACCAGGGTCTGCTACAGCACCTCAATACTTGACACCAGGGGCTGCTACATCCCCTCAATACTTGACACCAGGGGCTGCCACATCCCCTCAATACTTGACACCAGGGGCTGCTACATCCCCTCAATACTTGACACCAGGGGCTGCTACATCCCCTCAATACTTGACACCAGGGCTGCTACATCCCCTCAATACTTGACACCAGGGGCTGCTACATCCCCTCAATACTTGACACCAGGGGCTGCTACATCCCCTCAATACTTGACACCAGGGGCTGCTACATCCCCTCAATACTTGACACCAGGGGCTGCTACATCCCCTCAATACTTGACACCAGGGGCTGCTACATCCCCTCAATACTTGACACCAGGGGCTGCTACATCCCCTCAATACACCACCAGGGGCTGCTACATCCCCTCAATACTTGACACCAGGGGCTGCTACATCCCTCAATACTTGACACCAGGGGCTGCTACAGCACCTTAATACTTGACACCAGGGGCTGCCACATCCCCTCAATACTTGACACCAGGGGTTGCTTCATCCCCTCAATACTTGACACCAGGGGCTGCTACATCACCTCAATACTTGACACCAGGGTCTGCTACATCACCTCAATACTTGACACCAGGGGCTGCTACATCACCTCAATACTTGACACCAGGGGCTGCTACATCACCTTAATACTTGAGACAAGGGACTGCTACATCCTCTCAATACTTGACAATACACACACACACACACACACACACATTTCACCCTCATATGTTCACTGTGAATATTTGAACACACAAAACACTCAGTCTGTAAGGGGTGTGTAAGTCTGTAAGTCGCTGTAATGTCTTGAACCTGGAAGTAGAATGACTGATCCTGTAAGGGGACAAGCTGATTCCAGTTACCATATCGATGGGTTTAACTATTTCTCCACCTTAAACCAAATTGATATAGTATTTCTCTAGAACTGTGCATAGTGAGCGTGACATGATTATAGTATTGATGTGTGTGTCACCTTCATCACTGTCTGGTTGGGGTCTCGCCCTCAGAAAGGGCATAAAAATTATGTTTGGTGGCAACAGGTAGTGAGTGTATGGCATGAGGACCAGGGGAGCAGATTTACATCTGGGAAGTTTAACTTGATGAGGATGTACCATAACAAAACCTATCTACGATTCTAAAGTCTGTCTATATGTAGTGTCAGTCATGACAGCAGTTGTCTCCCTTAGATAGTAGTCTTGCAGGAGGAATGTCACTAAATGCTGCACTTGT